TTTGTCTCGTTTAGTTTGTCCCCTCTCGTTTAGTTTGTCTCGTTTAGGTTGTCCCATCTCGTTGAGTTTGTCCCCTCTCGTTTAGTTTGTGCCCTCGCTTAGTTTGTCCCCTCTCGTTTAGTTTGTCTCGTTTCGGTTGTCCCATCTCGTTGAGTTTGTCTCGTTTAGTTTGTCCCCAGTGTCTTACCGTTGAGGACAGCCTGGGGGAAGTAGACAGAGGACCCCTGGTCTCTGCTGTAACGGTGCAAGTCCACCACATACAGCACCTCCCTGCAGACGGCAGGAGAGGACGAGGACGACTGAAAGACAAAATAAAAGATAGTGATGAGTAAAAGTGTCCCAGGTGATTTAGTGTCTCTGAGCACCAGAGTCCCTTTAGAAAACCTCTCATTTTACTGCAGCAGGGTCTGACAGTCTGTCAGTCCTGGTTCTGGTTCTCCCGTGCCCCCCTTCCCTCCAGCAGAGAGGAGAAGCTCTGCTCCTGGAGGAGGGGGAGACCCTGCTGCTGCTGCTGCCGGGAGCTGAGCTCTCCTCCTCCCTCCAGGTCTCTGCTGGATCCGGGTCTGTCCACGGTGGACCGGCCTGTGCTGGAGGATCCGGGTCTGTCCACGATGGACCGGTCTCTGCTGAAGGCCCCGCTGGAGTCTGAACTAGGCTGAGACTGGTTCATACAGAGGAGCTAACAGGGAGCTAACAGGGAGCTAACAGCTATTTGAGCCAAACTCCATTCAAACATCAGACACTTTCAGCTACCGGCTCATAAAGAAACGCTTGTGTAACTCAGTTCAACACGTTTCTAACACTTTAGGTTCTTGTGGTAAATTCGGCAAATCATTAATTCACTGAACGTAAATATTTTAGACAGAACGAGTCGATTTATGATTCAATACGGAGAACAACGGAGCCGTTTTATTTTGAAAAGCTCGCGTTTCATTGGTAAAATGAAAGCTTCTTATTCAGAAAACACAGATTGTTATTATTATTATTATTATTATTATTATTATATATGTCATCATTATGTCCAGTCCTTTGGTTGTTTTTTCCAAGAAGTAAACCGAAGTTAAATTGTTCGATATTTAAATGTTTAACCGTGCGAGAGGCGGACGGACCGGAAACAGACCATATTAATAATAATAATAACACCGACGATCAATAACACACGTGACGACGCTGTTCACACCTTGTTCGGACCGGGTCTGGACCGGGTCAGGGTTCTGTGGAAGACGCAGTCTGGAGCCGCCATGTTGGACAAACAATAACAGTGCAGTGCATTGTGGGAGAAAGACACAAAGGTCTTTTTTTTTTTAATGAATTTAATTATTTATTGTAGTTATCACAAAGTGTTAGAATACATCAGTAAAAACGAAGTGTTTTTTAAAATGTAATAATAATTCATAGAAAGCACAGAACCATTTTATAATAATGTTGTATATCTATATATATATATATATCTATATCTATATCTATATCTATATCTATAGATATAGATATAGATAGATAGATAGATATAGATATAGAAATATATGTATATAGAAATACACGTGTATATATATATATAGAAATATACACACACACACGCTTCTATTCTCTGTGTGTGAAGTGCTGGGAGTCCCTGAACTCCAGGTAGAGGCTGAACAGCAGGTGCAGACTCTGGACTCGGGTCCTGTACACCGGGACGTCCAGCAGGGCGCACACGGTGTCGGCGTACTCGGCCGCGCTGCAGCAGAGTCGAGCCGGCGGCAGCTGCAGGCGTCCCAGCTGCTCCTCCAGCTCACACGGCCACTCCTGCATCAGGCTGTCGATGTCCGGCATCGAGCGAGCGTACTGAACGCTGGCCGCAGGTTTAGAGCGGTGCAGAGCAGAGATACTCTCCACCCAGCTGTCCACCGCACGGGGGTTACACTGAGGACCGGGGACACTCGTCACCTTCTTCAGCTGGAGGACAGGGAGACAGAGACGGGGAGAGAGAGAGAGAGACAGGACTGATTATGAGACAGGAAGCTGAACGAGAGAGAGAGACTGGTACCTCTGTGGCCCTGTGCTGCTTGCTGTCCTCAGACAGACAGACAGACAGACAGACAGACAGACAGACAGACAGACACCTCTGTGGCCCCGTGCTGCTTGCTGTCCTCAGACAGCCACAGGGACATCACCGTGGGGTCAGACTGCTTCACACTGGGCTCGTCCAGGACCATCAGACCCAGACCGTCCCCTTTACCGTCCGGCCTCGGAACCTGAACGCCACACGGGTCACTGTGTTAATAAAGTTATTCTTCAACCTGGCTCCTGATTGGTCCACCAGTCACTTCCTGTTTGTACCTTGAGGAAGGCGTCGATGTCCCCCACCGCCGGGATGAAGTCTGGGATGAAGGGCTTCAGGCTGTGGTCCAGGTCTACGGTCTGAGGGCTGTAGCTGAGGGGGGGGGGGGGGGGGGCAGACAGCTGTTACTGGTGCATCATGGGTAATATATGACATAATATACTCTGTGATGATGATGATGAGTCATGTCTCACCGTGTGATGTATTGGAACAGCTCCTTGATCTCGGTGCTGACAGGCAGGTTGGCGTAGACCGAGGGGTCGTAGACCCCCTCTGGAGACTCACTGGGGTCATCGTCAGAGTCCTCTTCATCAGAGTCCTCCTCCTCTTCCTCCTGCCCCCCCGTCAGCTCGTTGGCCCTCTGGGACTCGAGGTCCTCGTCAAACTCATCACTATTGGCCGACATCAGGCTACGCTCCCTGCTCCTCTGAAGAGACAGAAATCATCTGGTGTTACGGTTATCAAGGGACCGTGTTAACCGGTGTTACGGGTTATCAAGGGACCTGTGCTGTTACCTATGGTGTGGTCTGTGCTGTTACCTATGGTGTGGTGTGACCTGTGGTGTTACCTATGGTGTGGTGTGACCTGTGCTGTGACCTGTGGTGTTACCCGACTCTGGCCTCGAGGTGTCGGGCTGTGGTCGCTCTCTACCTCCTCTGACTCGATCACCTCCAGACTCTCGTCGTATGGCTGGTTCTTCAGCAGACTGGAGTCTCTAATGTCAGCCCGCTCCATAGGACGATAACGGATCCAGTTTGGGCCGTTTACCGATAAGCCACCTAGCATCAACAAACCGGAGCACCGGAAGATTTTAACCGTCAGAGAACAAACACCCGGTTTAACGGAGAGACGCTCGTACAGAGAGGAAAAGGACTCTGGTTTAATGTCGTTAATGTTCCTCTAACAGTCCGACTTCCGTTTGTTTATCTCCGTCAGTCTGTTAGCAGCTAACGTTAGCTACTAGGAGCTGTATCCTGGCAACGGACCTCGCGATGCATCATGGGATTTATTGAAACAACTTTATTGAAATCCAGTGAAAATACAAATAACGCAATATCGCCATCATGTGTTGAACTAGTAACTTTAGATCTGAACTACTAATACTTTGTCTCACATAGAAGTACTCCATCCCTCTGAACTACTAATACTTTGTCTCACATAGAAGTACTCCATCCCTCTGAACTACTAATACTTTGTCTCACATAGAAGTACTCTGTCCCTCTATACTACTAATACTTTGTCTCACATAGAAGTACTCTGTCCCTCTATACTACTAATACTTTGTCTCACATAGAAGTACTCTGTCCCAGACATCATGAACAAAGTGAGGAAAATAAATACTTCATGATCTCCTGGTTTTTATTTGTCTCTTGAAAGTCTTTTCACAATAAAATAAGCCAAACATTCAAAATAAAAGCAGAAACACAAGTGTGACCCTTCAGACGGGGCCTCTTCAGGGCCAAGGGCCACAGGTTGAAGTCAGGATGGTTCATTAGGTCACTGGAGAGATGTGTGTGTGTGTGTGTGCGCTTGATGTCCCACACGCTGCCTGCTGCAGGAAGGAATTTAATGAATAAAAAACACAAATAACAGTTCACAACACAGAGACAGACAGGCTGTTAGCTACAGGGGGCTGTCTGTCCACAAAGAGACACACAGACAGGTAAATAAGCAGATATCTAATAAATAGTATATGTAGCCTAATTAAAAGGATGAGACCAGACACTAAGATACATTTATATTTTATGTGGGTCTTTTATTTCCCCCGACTGCACTCTTGAGTACAGCGTTAATTGGTCAAATTTTAAAAAGGTACAGAACAATTGACAGCAAAATGAAACACTTGCTTCCCACTCTCTTCAGAATTACAATACAACAGGACTGACAACTGGAAACATATTCTACAGCTACATAGAAAAACAACAGTAGTGACCTACTCCTGCTAAGCAGAAACAAAGAACCTCTGCATCAGTCTCATGCTGTCCAACTCTGAGATATGTAGATGGCATTTATTTCACAGGAACACAATTATTGTTAAAGAAAATAATGAACTCACTCCCACACCAGCTCGGACCCACACACCTGGAACTCACGGCTTCTGTCTCCCCTCTCAATGAAGCAGATACATACAACTCAACACCATGTCTCTAAACAGTTAACAAGCCCCATTACAAGGTGATTCAGCATTCATTAGTAACTTCTCCCGCTACTTACGCTGACCCGTCGTTCAGGTCTTTCCCTTCAGTTCAGTCTGGATGCTAAAAGCTAACGTTCGGTCCTCAGCAGCCTCTGATTCCCGCGCTGTATTTCTACATCTCACGTGAACACCGTGCTCTCGCGTAGCTCACGCTTCATTCTCTTAAAGTGACAGTACGCCTAAAATAAAAGCAGCATCTGTTACTGTCACTAACCCTGCATGTAAGTCATATCTATCAGGGACAGTACAAAAACCTTCCTACCCCCACTTCGCCTGGCTACATATAAACACACAAAGAACTCGACTGAATCATTGTTGTCATGTTAAAATCAACAAAACATTTGAATGTACAGCTGAGTCATAAATACTACAGCTGTGAGGTACTTGTACTTGTACTTTATGTATTATTAGAGATTAAATGGTAACATACCGTGAATCACCGGGATCTTCTGGTCGTAACGTCTCACGGACTCGGTTCAGTAGAATCATAGATAGGAGTCTCTACTTCCGCAGCTAGCTGTTACTTTTCATAGGCCCCGCCCTCTTTAATGCAAACAACCAATGAGTGGAGCGAAAAGAGCAAAGCGCGTAATTCTATTGGATGTCAGGCACGTCGATCACTTCCTGCTTCAGCTCAGTTTGTGTTCGTTCATTTGGGCTGTGCTTAAACTGCTATTGCCTTCAAGTGCTGTCGTAAATATTACCACTCTGCTGTCAGTCAACAAATAACTCTTATTTCACATATTGTTCGTTGTTGTACAAGCAATTAAAAACGCATATATTTGTTAAGGCTATGACTTTATTAATGTTATATTTAGGTAATAATCTTCAAAAAGAACATTCATAAAGTATTTATATAACAAAAATATGAACTTGAAAACATTTGATATGTGAGCTTTTCCAAAATAAACAAGTCAACAACTACAATTACAGTTAAAATGACAGTATACACGCTTTAGTTTATTTCATATTTCTACAAAAACCTTAAATTTAATCCTTTTACAATGTGCGATTACATGCTGGTACTCAGATTAACGAGCGGTCGGCGGGACCCTGAAGGCATCAAAACAAAGGTTCGTGTACCTTCGTATACCTTCGTGCTCGCTTCCTGATTGGTCCTGCTCGCTTCCTGATTGGTCTTGTTCGCTACCTGATTGGTCCTGCTCGCTTCCTGATTGGCCCGACCCGCTGCACAGAGTCACCTTGGTCCTGCTTGCTCCAGCTTTAGAGAGCAGGTGGTCCCGTCCGGCTCAGAGGCAGACAGATAGGCAGAGGGAATCTGACCGGGGACTCTTTAAACATGGCGGAGGCAAAGCCGAAGACCTCTCCGAAGGCCATCAAGTTCCTGTTCGGGGGCTTGGCCGGGTAGGTGCTGTTGCTAGCTCACATGTTAAAGTGCTAATGTCAGTTAGCAGTCAGGGGAAGCTAACAGGAGAGCTAACAACTGCTAACAGGAGAGCTAACAGGAGAGTTAACAAGAGAGCTAACAACTGCTAACAGGAGAGCTAACAACTGCTAACAGGAGAGCTAACAACTGCTAACAGGAGAGCTAACAACTGCTATCTGTGAAGTCGACCTTTGACCCGACGTTAGTTATTGACAGTGACATTAACTATGATGTCATATCCTCTAATTCAGTAAAAGTACTAATACAACACTGTGACAATGCTCCACTTTGAGTTAAAGTCCTGCATTTCAAGTATTACTCACATATTACATTGTAGTACACTATAAAGTACACTATGTACCTGTGAGATGTAGTACAGTATAAAGTAC